TTTGAAGATGGTGAGAAAGTCGAGAGATCACACTAAAATATAATCAATACTATAATAACACAAAAGTCTCTCCATCAGCATTTTTCTGTTATGAGAAGTTTTACACATCAACAAAAATATCAAATTTTAGTGACCAATCAAAATATATCATAAAGACATGTAATCTCCACTAAATGACACATCATTTTTGTTCTCTTAAAATTTACACACCATCAATATAACGGTAGTGCTCCTACTCTTGGTCTCTTCGTCTTCTCTTTATTTTTCAATTGTTGAATAGGTCAAAACGAAATCAATTTCCCAAAATGACAATTCCAAAGCGTACCTTTGAAAGTTATTAATATTTCATATTCTTTTCGTATTCAACATTTTAAAGTTCCCTTCACGTGGATAGTTTTCAGAATCAAATATATAGATAGAAAATGAGGGCAAGAGGAGGAGGACGAAAAGGGCAAAGTGGAGACGTCGTCAATCGTTAGTTAATTCGTCATCATCCGGAGGTGTAGAGAAACGAAGATGAAACAGAGGTCATAAATTGAGACGCTTTGTTACTTTGTAAACAAGGTTCTAGAAGATATTTTGGTGAGTTTGTATGCTCTAAGATTATATATAAATATCACTTATGCAACTGAAAAATGGCTTTCACCAAATGATCAGACGTTAATTGATATATGATCTTAATTTTGTGTGGTTTGTATCATTATAATTCTTGACGTCATTTTCTTGTACAAATATGATAAATCTTGATCATAAATTAGAAGTTGTAGTGAATTTTCATGAAATGATTATTTCATAAACACTACTATGGCGGATGAGTTAGTTGTCAAAACAAGATGATTAGTTTGCAGTAAAACTAATATGTCCTCCAAGAGAAAAGTATGACTTTCCATATAGTTTTACAAAAAAATATATTTTTTAATTTCATCCTCTTCTATTATTTTTTAAAGTTCTTTTTAGGATCTCATCTTTTTCTCCAATGTAAGGTTGGCAAAAATGTATGTACTAGAGTACATGTTTGGAATAAGTACCTCTAATTCTTGAGAACCACATCTCTGGATTTTATTAGAGCTTGTGAAAATTATCACATTATGAAGTTAATAGAGCTGTGACATATATAGAAACAAAATGCTTTAAAATATAAGTAATGAAGACTTGCAACATAATAGAAAAAATACGTAATTAAAAAAAGAGTTAATTAGCTAGATAACAAAAGTTATAGAGAAATTAAGAAAATAACCAAAAATTTTGGGATTCCTTTGAAAAACTTTAGTGTGTTTCCGTAAAGTTTTTGGTTAGTTACCTAATTTCACTATAATTTTTTGTTTACCAATGCAAATACTCATAAAAAATTCATAATATATAGTATAAAAAGCTCATGGAGAGATATAGTGACACGGCCAATAGAATGAATGTAACGAAGACCAAACCAAATAATGAAATTAGTATCTTCTAAAACTCTTTTCAAGCAATTTTACAACAATGGAGTAAAACCAAATTCCATTACTTTCTTCGTAGCATGGCTCCTAATACAAGTTTAGATTCGTCGACTTTTTCTACTGAACAATAGTTGGTTATTTCAACCATATGAAATTTAAAATTTGGATTACAATTACAAAAAAAAAAAAATTGGATTACAATTTTTTTAATCGTTTCTTCTTAAAATGTAGTATTACATAATTCGCGGCGTAGCGCGGGAAGCGCGGAAATTAATCTAGTTAAGAGTAAAAGTGACGGTAAGTAATTGGAATTTTTTGGAGTGAAGTTTAAGACCAACGATTGATCTTTTTGTTTATGTCGTACGCTTCTAGGTGGTCAATATGCACTGTGTGCGGGTATGAATTTCTAAAAAATAAAAAATATTTGGTATTAAATAATATGATTTTATCAATTATAAATACTAACTATACATGATTGTTAGTTTTAAATTTCTATGTATCTAGAAAATTAATATTATAGATATAATATTTTGGAGATGGTGAGAAAGAAGAAGGATTTCACAAAAAATAAGATTAAGAGTAATTGTGAGTACTTGGACTTGGAGTGGAGGTTAAGACCAACGATTGATCTTCTTATTTATGCCGTAGTTTTTCCGGTGGTCGATCTATAGCGTGTGCGGATATGAATTTTCTAAAGAATGAATAATTTTAGTATTTAATAGTAATATGATTTTATCAATTATAAAAATCAATTATACATGATTGTTAGTTCTAAACTTATATGCATGTAAGAAATTAGTATTTTAGATATAATATTTTGGAGATGGTGAAAAAGAAAAAGGATTTCACGAAAATATAATTAAAGATCTGATTGATAAACATTGGTAGAAGAAAAGAATAGAAAGAATTTGTTTTCTTCCAGATTTCATCCAATCAAGTAAAAGTATATAATCCTTCTAGAATATTTATTTTCTACTACATTTTTCTGGGCCCACAATTAAGTTAGAGGGAAGAACCAAAAGAAATTTTCTCCTTTGTTTTATCGGTGGAAAAAAAAATTCCAAGGAGAAAAAAAAAATATCGAATATACAAATTTTTTATGGTGGGTCTAGTAGAAATATTTTTCTTCCCTTAAACACACCAATCACACCCTTAAGATTAAAAGTGATTGTGACTACTTAAAATTTTTTGGAGTGGAGATTAAGACGATCAACTTATCTTCTTGTTTATATGGTAGTCCTGCAAACTGTTTATGATTTCAAAAGATAAAAGCACTTGTCTCCACTTCACAAACTTCCCCGTTACAGATGAATAGTTTGTTTCTCCAGAGCAATATTGATCAAAATAAATTATTCTCACCATTTGTTCTACTTTTGGAGGCATGTTTGCGTCTAATCTAATCAACGGTTCTGGGAAAAAAAAACTGTTATGTAAAATGTGAGTTGTATAAAAGTTGTTGCGCCTATTTTATATGATCCCAAAGTAAAAGTAAACAAGGAATATAATAATCATTTAATTTTCTTTAATAATGTTTATTTTTGGATTTGATTAATTTTCAGTCTTGGATATAGTCTTGGATCTCATTTGCAACAGTTTCAATAGCCAGAATACTTTATAATTCAATTCTACTTTATCCGAAAACATTTTTTTGCCTCATAGAGTCTTAGTTATTCAACTTAGTTATCATGCATTATTTTCTCGTGAAAATGTGAAAATATGAAATGTCAAAAGTATGGATCACCATTTTTTTT